TTTAGACCATCCATCATCTCAAGCACTTATTATTTCTTTGTGATGAAAATAGTCAGAATTCTCTCTTCCAGAAAAAATTTTCCAGTTTTTTGAGACAGGGTTTCTTTGTGTAACCTTGGGTATCCTGGAACTAGCTCTATAGACCAGGTTGGCCTCAAACTCACAGAGATCTGCATGCCTCTGCTTCCTGAATTCTGAGATTAAAGGAATGAGCCACCAATGCCCAGCTTCTTCTGCCCATTTTGAGTTTTATGGTGCAATACTGTAGCTTTTGCTTTTTAAATTTGTTTATTTCTTTTAATTTTGTTTTACATTCCAATCACAGCTCTCCCTCCTATCCCTCCTCACAAACCCCCACCTCACTCCCCAACCCACCCCATCTACTCCTCCCAAAGGGTAAGGGCTCACAAGGGGAGTCAACAAAGCCTGATCCATTAAGTTGAGGCAAGACCAAGCCCCTCCCCACTGCATTAAGGCTGAGCGTGGCATCCCATCATAGGGAATGGGATCCCACACCATGGGCTCATGTACCAGGGATAGATCCTGGTCCTACTGCCAGGGGTCCCTCAGGTGCCCAAGTTTCACAGCTGTCTCTCACATGCAGAGGACTTAGCTCGGTTCCATGGAGTCTCCACAGCTGTCTGTCTAGAGTTCATGTGTTCTCACGAGCTTGGTTCAGCTCTCTCTGTGGATTTCCCCTTCAGGGTTGTCTCTTGTCTGTTTTTATTTTTCTTCAACAAGCATAGAATGGCTACCTTCTATTGAAAGCAAATGAAAAACAAAGTATTTTCTTTTTTAAAAGCATAAGTTGTATATTAACAAAGATGACAAATTAGTTTTTTTTTCTGTTACCCTAGCATTTTATCCTAAACAGAATCACAGAGTTAGATTTTAACAGGATCAACTCTTTACACTAAAGATCATGGAAGTCATTTAATGTTAAATTTGTCTGCTCTTGCTGGGTCCATACTTGGAACCCTAACACTTGGGAGGCTACAACAGAAAGATCATCTGAAGCCAGAAGTCTGAGGTCAACCTGGGCAATGGAAAAAACTTTGTCTAAAAAAAAAATAAAACAAAACAGACAGACAGACAGACAAACCCTTTTGCTTTCATGTCTTGTGACTTTTAAATTTTCAACCATTCAATACTAAAAAGCATCTTAGTCTGTGGTCCAAAAGAGGGCAATGATGCTGTGCTGGGGTAAACATGGCCCACTCTGCAGTGGTGTGTGTCCTGTAGAGCTCTGTGCTGGGGTAAACATGGCCCACTCTGCAGTGGTGTGTGTCCTGTAGAGCTCTGTGCTGGGGTAAACATGGCCCACTCTGCAGTGGAGTGTGTCCTATAGAGCTCTGTGCTCTGTTGGGAATGTCCTGTGTTTGGGTCATTAGCACAGTAACCAACACCCACGCTGACCCCTGAACACTAGAAATGTGGTTGACTTGATCGAGGAAGTGATTTTTCAATTTTATTTCATTTTAATTGATTCAACCATCAATAATTCAATAATTAATGGGCTTGTGATTCCAAATATTGCACATATTATTTTCTGAGGGCTGCTGTAACAGATCACCAAAAACAGAGTGGTTTTAAACCGTAGAAATGTTCTTTTTTTCCAATGAACTATATACTTCCAGACCTCAAACAACAGAAATTTATTCTCTCATGGCTTGGGGAGCTATACGTCTGAATGGAGGATGAATTGGCCACACTGTGTTTAAGGATTTTGTGTAGACTCCTATTCCTTCTCGTGTAAACTCTTTACTGGCTTCTGGTGGCTCCCGGAGATCCTTAGCACTTTTTGACTGTGTATAAGCATGCCAACTTTTGCCATTGTCATCGCATGGCTTTCTTCCCGCTGCTGTGTCCTTGCTTCTCTGCTTATACTGAGTGGCTGCAATCCCGAATGACCTTGTTTCTAATTACAACTGAAAATTCCAAATAAAGTTGCATTCTGTGGTTCTGGACAGACACAGGTTTTGGGAAGGACAGTCATCAGCCCAGCCTGGAGCAGCTTTACCACAGATGCACCTGCATTTACTACGCATGGCTTGTTGGAACTTGGGCTGCTGGGCTCCATCCCTAGACTTTCTCACCGTATGTCTTGTCTATGGAATAAATACCCAGTGATGCTGCCACTGCTGGCCCTGTGTCCACTTGATAACCACTTCTCACGTGTCATTAGTCTTGTTAGTTTGCTGGGGCTGCCATGAAAAAATAATGCCCAATGGGAGGCATAAGCAATAGGAAGGTGTTATCCCACAGTTCTGGAAACATGAAGTCTGAAATCAAGGTGTGCTTTAGGGCTTGGAGGGAAGGGTCTGTTCTCTAGGTCTTTATCCTTGGCTTATAAATGTATGTCTTCATGTTCATATGGTATTTTCCCTGTGTGTGCCCAGATTTCCTGTTTGGATAAGAAAACCATTGGTATTGGATTAGCTACTACTCTTTTTGTTTCCGAGGCAGGGTTTCTCTGTGTAGTTTTGTAGACCAGGCTGGCCTGGAACTCACATAGATCCACCTGCCTCTGCCTCCTGAGTGCTGGGGTTAAAGGTGTGGGCTATTACCACTGGCTATGGATTACAACCTTTCAAAAGCTTAGTCACAACTGTGAAGATTCTATCTCCAAATGTCACATACTGAGTAACTGAGGGGTTTAGTATTTTAATACATGCTGCTTTTGGTGGGGAGAGTACAATTCAACCTATAACAGACCTTGACTTTGCATTTGATTATTTTCATTTTAAAAATATTTGTTTTCTGGACAGTGATGGCACACGCCTTTAATCCCAGCACTTGGGAGGCAGAGGCAGGTAGATCTCTGTGAGTTCAAGGCCAGGTGTGTGTGTGTGTATGCGTGTGTGTGTGTGTGTGTGCGCGCGTGTGTGTGTGTGTGTGCGTGTGTGTGTGTGTGTGTGTGTGTGTGTGAGTGTATGTATGTGCACCACATGCATGAACTATCAGAAGATTTCAGAAATGGGCATTAGATCCCACAGATAGTTGTGAGCCACCATGTAAATGCTGGGAATCAAGCCTAGGCCTTCTGCAAAAGCAAGTACTTTTAGCCACTATGTCATCTCTCTAGCTTCCCAACTATTTCCTCTTAATTGAATTATTCTCTCCTGGAAGGAGGAGGAAGTTCATATAAAATTCAGGAAGAAACTGAACCAAACAATGTCTAGTACATAAGTAAAATTTACAAGGCTCAGGAAGCTCCTGAAATGTATGAGATCCATAGGCCCCTCCCCAAGATGGCAACAGCAGTAAAACGCTGTGGAGGAGAGGAGACTCTCCTACAGGCCAGCCTGTCTTCAAGTTGGGCTGGGAGTTTGAGGGACACAGCTTTTGTGGGTTGTCACTCACTCTGAGTGGGGCTTCTAGGAGGCGCAACTGACTTTGATGCTCCTGTAAGTGACCTTTCACTTCCATCCCCTGAGTAACCCTAATAAACTCTCCAATTTATTAAGATAAACTGGGGGTGGAGTTGTTTCTTTGGTCTGTCCTCAGGGCCTATCTGGAGTGAGTATAGTTTGTTCATATTTCCCAGAAAAGGCCATGCAGCAGTGTGTGCAATAGAATTACTTCCTTATCTCTGAACTCTGAGTGACTGCTGGTCTGGATAAGTTTCCAGAACTAAGAGGCAGGAGTCTCGTATTCCAGTTCTGCTCTGTTGACAAACTATATTCACAAAGTTGGGGGTGGGGTGGGGATGGGGGTGGTGCTTGCATAAGAACCCTGATATCGAGGTCTTACTATCTCCCTGGACTTTGTTAAATGCTGAATTCTGTCAATCTTAGATGATAAATAAGGTAAGTGTTTGCTTGGTTCTTGGCCTCCATGTTGTTTTGTGAACTCTAAATGTATGTTAATGAGACTAAGGTAGGAATTTGGTCCTTGTTGAGTTCACTGATTTCTCTCTTGCATTTTCTTTACTAACTCCCATCCATCTATCCATCCATCCACCCATGCATGTATGCATGTATGCACCCATCCACCAATCCACTCATAAACACTCAGCATCTGTTATGCAGTAGGCATTGCCCTCACCAGGACACAGCTGAGCTATTCAAAGCCTGGTCTTGCATGAAGTCAGACACATAACCAAGTAAGCAGAAACATGTTTGAGGAATCTACAGCTATGACTTAAATATTTTTAACTTGCTGGTCATAAGGCAGAAACAACTTTACACTGTAGGCTCCCATGTCAGCAACAGATGATACTTTTCTTAGCTGGGATTTTACTGCTGTGCTAAAACACCGTGACACAAAGTGACATGGGGAGGAATGGGCTTATTCAGTTTACAGCTGAGAGGTCACACTCCATCCATCTCTGAGGGAAGTTAGGGCAGGAACATGGAGGCAGGGACTGACGCAGAGCCATGGAAGAGTGTCACTTAAGGGTTGCTCCTCATGGCTCGTGTAGCCAAGAATAACCTTGAGCTTTGGAGTCTTCTGTTTTCACCCTCCCACCTCAAAATGGCAGGGCTATAGGTGTGCAATATCACACCTGGTCTACAAGCAATGTAAGGACTTGAACCCAGGGCTTTGTGCATGCTAAGCAATCAATCAGTTTGCCAAATGACTCACATCTCCAGCCCTCAATGTTTTCTCTTGAGGCTGTCTCATTTTATCTCAGGCTAGCCTCAAATTTGTGATCCTGTTGCCTCAGTATAGCATATTATAGGCAAATATCAGTACAGCTGGTTTTCAGTGTAAATGCCTAATTTTCACAATAACTTAGAGAGATGAGAATTTTATCTAAAACCAAACCAAAATAAGATAAAAACCCACGAGGGAACAGAGGGTCAGAAAGCAGGGACTGAGCCACAGTTACCTGTTGGGTGGCGGAGGCCCTGGGAACTAAGCTTGGGTTTGCCTGGTGCTAATGCTTACATCTTATCTCACCGTACTGCATCCCGTGCCTTGACATGAATTCCAGTGTGATAAGGGAGGTAGCTGCAGATACTGGTTGTAATTCTGGGGTCCTGTCTCTTAGAACCCAGGATGTCAGCTTCTGAAGTGGTAGAGGCCCCCTCTGGAAGGGCAGTAGGAAACGTGTCTGGAGACAAAGGGCGCCTCAAGACCAGTGTTTCCACCTCTGCTGGAAGATGGGACATCAGGAGACCTTTTGACAGGTACAATCTGTTGATCCACACCAAACCCATAAACCAAAGCTTTTCTGGCTGGCACGTCATCACTTTATCTACAACCTTTGGGTCAGATAAGAGACTTCAACTAAAGCAATTTTTTTTCTCTTTGAGCACTTATTATCTAACCACTTATTAACTTGCTTTGTACTATGATAAATAATAAGAAACGACCTTTGAACTCATTCATTGGAAATGTTCTGAGGAAAAATATTTTATATACACACAATGCACGTGCATACATTCCCTCAGCGGCAAACGAGTGCCACCCAAGGCGTCTATCCACATTGACCTCTGTACTCTTGGGAACTCAACAACTTTGCAAAGATCAGGCTGTACACGCAAAGGCAGTTAGTATCCAACCAGAATACACACACATGTGTGCACACATGTGCGTTCACACATACACACACAAAAAACCCAAACAAACCCCCAAAACCAAAAAGACCACAAAACAAAACAAAAAATCCTAACAACTACACACACAGAAAAACAGAACAAAAAATGAAAAGAAAAAAAAACCAAAATTCACTAGTCATCCTCAAATGATCTAAATTTGGAAAAACAGAAACTAAGACCAAACTAAGAAATTTAGTTTTTGTTCATCAGCTATGCTCGCTAGATGTATGGGATTGTTTTAAACACTACATTCTCTCCATGATCATTGGAAGAGTGGGGCTGTGATTAAAACCCTGGTGTCTTAAGGTAGTGTGCACACACCAGAATGTGATAAAAACCCTGGTGTCTTGAGGTAGTGTGCACACACCAGAATGTGATAAAACCCTGGTGTCTTGAGGTAGTGTGCACACACCAGAATGTGATAAAACCCTGGTGTCTTGAGGTAGTGTGCTCACACCAGAATGTGATAAAACCCTGGTGTCTTGAGGTAGTGTGCTCACACCAGAATGTGATAAAACCCTGGTGTCTTGAGGTAGTGTGCGCACACCAGAATGTGATAAAACTCTGGTGTCTTGAGGTAGTGTGCACACACCAGAATGTGATAAGATCCTGGTGTCTTGAGGTAGTGTGCACACACCAGAATGGGGTGACATAGCTTGTTCAAGGGCATACAACCAGTGAGTGGTAGAAGTCAGCACTCCCAAACCAAGCAAAAATGAAAACCAAAACAAAGACAAAAAAAAAAAAACTAAATGAAGCAAAGAGACCCCCCAATGCATGGAGTCTGTTTTGTGCTGCCTAATTCCTCCTGGATATGTGGAGCCAGTGATTCTCCATGGGAGAAAACTGATTTTTCCTTTCCCAGCAGGCATCAGTTGATGACAGTATCTTGGTTAGGGGTGGGACTTTGTGTCTACCTCCCCTTATCAGTGCTAAGACTTTGTCTGGGTTGAACCTGTGCAGATCCTGTGTGTGCTGTCTTGGTATCTGTGTGTTCATGTGTGTATTCCCTCTGTTGTGTCTGGATGACTCTGTCCACCACTTCTGGCTCTTGCTAACTTTCTGTCTCATCTTCTGCTTAGATCCCTGACCCTTGAGCAGAGGGGTTTGATGAAGGCATCCTATTTAGGGTTGAGTGCTGCAAAGTCTCTCACTCTCTGCACACTACTCAGATGTGGGTCTCTCTGTTAATTCCCATAAAGTACAAGAAGCTTCTCTGGTGCGGGCTGAGTGAGGCACCGGTCTGTGGATACAGCAATATGTTACTAGGAGTCATTGTATTGCTACTATGCTATTTTATTTTAGCAGAAAAATAGCATTAAGTTTTCTCCTAGGGCCCATGGCCTGTCTATTCTCAGGTTTGTGGCCTCTTTATCAGGGTCAGGCATGTGTTCCATCTCACGGCATGGGCCTTAAGTCCAATTTTTAAAAAGCAGTTGGTTACTCCATCACACTGGTGCCACTACTGCTCCAGTATACTTGAAGGCAGGGAGCTGTTGTAGGCCACAGGATGGTACTGATTATTATTTCTTCCCCAGTAGGATGCAGAATACCACCCAACACCATGAGTGCTTAGTCAATAGGGGTGAAGTTCCTAGATCAATTTCTCCGTGTTTGATGGCATGAGTAAAATGGTGTTCTTAGCGATGGAGCCTTACTATCAGGCTGTGGAGAGTAACCAATAGCTTTGGCAACAGCCTGTGATGTCTGGGGGAGGTGGTCTGTGGGACTACTTTGGCAACAGCTCAACAAGCTGTAACCCATTTCCGGCCCTGAAAGTTTTACTTGGTGTCATAAGATGTCTAGAGGCATTGTCTTCCCCACGGTGACTCCATTTGAATTCCTCTCATATATGCATGTACTTTAGGACACTTCTACTGTAGTAGGTTTATCTGAAAAAGGTTTTTAGTGTTAGCTGCCTTTCCCCATACGTCCTCCTTTATGCTGCTCTCCCATTCACCCCTCATTTGATTTCCCTTCTATAGTTTCTCTTTTATCTGTTTATAACACTGTCTTCCATTCCCCCTTCTTTGAATGACCTATCCTTGGCTCTGGGCCTGTCTGCTCTCTGTCTACCTACATGCCTATCATCACCTACTCATCCGTCACTTGTTCCCATACAGTTGTCTATCTGTCCCTCTCTGTCTAGCGCTCTTTCTCTCCTCAGAGACTAACTCCCTTGGTTGTGGTGCTCAACCTTGATTTCTGAACGCTGAACTTTGGAGTTTCCCTTTTATGAAGCAGCAAGGACGTAGTTATTAAGGTGCCTTATTCAGCATCTTATTAAATTGTTACATTATTATAAAGTTATTATTATAGTATTAATATGTTATTAAAACACTTTATTTTGGACCAAAGGTATTTTGTTACAGTTTAAAATTTATGTATAGCAAATCCATTCCTTTTTAATGTTTAGATGTATAAGTTTGACAAAAACAGGACTTAGGGGTTGGATAGATGACTCAGAGGTTAACAGCACTGGCTGCTTTTCCAGAGGATCCAGTTCAATACCCAGCACCCTTATAGAAGCTCACAACTGTCTGTAACTCCAATTCTGGGACATCTGGCACCCTCATACAGATATACATGGATGAAAAACACCAACGCACATAAAAATAAATCATAAAAAGAAAAAAGCAGAGGACCCAAGTCTAGTTCTCAGCACCGATACTGGGCTTCTTACAGCTACTTGTGATTCCAGCCAGTTCCAGGGGATCTAATACACCCACTCTGGCCTCCTGGGCATCTGTGCACATGTGCATAGACATATACAAATAGACATGAATAAAATAAATCTTACAGAAATAAAAAAAAAACAACTGGATACACATTCACTAAATGCTAGCAAGGAGGCTGAGCAACAGAAACTCTCTTTCATTGCTGGTGAGGGTCACACAATAGCACAGCCACTTTCAGGCACCAAGGATGGAGCCCAGGGCCTTACATGTGCCAGGCAAGCTCTGTCCCACTGAACTATATCTTCTGTCCTTGCAAAATGGCTCAGCTGCTTTAGATGGCACTTTAGCAGCTTGTTACAAAGTGAGACACCGTAAGAGTCACCTAACAGGCAGCTGGAGAGATGGCTCAGAGGCTAAGAGCACTGACTGCTCTTCCAGAGGTCCTGAGTTCAATTCCCAGCAACCACATGGTGGCTCACAACCATCTGTAGTGAGATCTGGTGCCCTCTTCTGGCTTGCAGGCGTACATGCAGACAGAGCACTGTGTACATAATAAGTCAATAAATTAAAAAAAGAAGAATCACCTAACAGTCAAGTGATGATATATTTATTTTAATGATTTGAAAAACTGACATATGAATATAGCAGCTGTCTTCCTAATTGTGAAAAGCTGGAAGTAACCAACATGCTCCCTTTCAGTGCTCAAATGGATAAACTAATAGATCCATAAACTGAATATTACCCCAGGATAAAAAGAAGTGATCTATCAATTCAAAAGACTTCACAGAAGAGGCTCAATGGGATAAGGTGATTGCTGGCAAGCCCAACAAACTGAGTTCAATCCCCAGGACCCACACTCTAGAAGGAAAGAACCAACTCCTGAAATTTGTTCTTTGACATCTGCCCATGTGTTGTGACAGCACGTGCATTTTTGCATACACAACAAATAAACAAGTCTCTTCAGAACTTTAAAAATGCCGTAGAGGAAGGTCAAGTTCATGTTGCTAAATGGAAAAAGTATGTCTAAAAAACTACCTACCTTGCTTTTAGAGAAAACACTTCACTGTCATCATTGACAGTGGAAAGGTTAGTGACTGCCAAGGGTTGGAGGTGACAAGGTGAGTAAACCCAACAGAGGAGATTTTGGGGGGACAGAGCTATTGTGATTAGGTTAAGTTGGCTGGATCCCACTTGCCTCCATCTTCCCAGTGCTGGGGTTACGAGTATCACCAGGTTTTTATGTGGGTGCTAGCCACTGAAACTGTTTCATCATGCTTGTGCAACAGAGCACTACTGATTGAGCAGTGTCTTCCCAGTCCCCATCCCACCCCCAAATGATTGATTCTTCCTAGGTGTGATTTGCTTTTCATTTGACAATTCAAGTTTACATTCACTCAAAAAAGAAAAAAGTGCACTCATTGATATGGCTTATGTTTTGAGTTCACTGGTTTTCCCTGTATGCTGCAAGGTGTTCTGTGGGGAGAATCCGAGGCCAGGTAAGTCATCAGAGTCCTCTGGACCAAACCCACACAAAGTTATGAAAAGGGAACCAAGTCTTCAGTTCCCAGGGAGAGGGTGTGACAGTGCTGGTAAGGCGATTAGTGTTTCTTGCTTCAGAGACAGGTGTGACCTGAAGAGGGTGAGGCCAACCTCTGTAGGCCAAACTCCTAAATTGAGCAGGCGGAAACATGTCTCTCTGAGCTGGAGGAATGAAGAGTAATCCAAAAGCTCAGTATTGTTTTCCATGTCTCAGAATCCTGGCACTGGAACCAATCTCAGATTATGGGAGGACACAGCCTGGGCGGGGCTTACTTAGATCCACTCCAGGTCACAGTCATGGTTCTGCTCTCCATCCACCCTGACTGCCTCTCTCCTGATGAATACCTATTGAGCACTCTCTTTTTGTGGGATGTCGTGATGTTTCAACCTGCTTTTCTGGCCATCTTGTGCTGTGCCTTCTGTCTGTCTGTCCCAATTTTCCCTTCTCCTAGGTCATTATCACTGGTCTTTTCAAATGCTGCTCATTTTATACTTTTATGGACCACCTTCTCTGTTCTCCTAAGAGTATCTGATGCAACATCTGGAGGCTCCAAGACCTTTCTGTCTGTCTTCTGCTAATCTCCGAGTCTTTAGAGGCATGAGCCAATTATTATTATTGTTATTATTATTATTTTATATCCCAAATAGTCTTCACAGACCCAGGCATGTAGTATGAGCTTCATTTATTAATATTGCCCTCCTAATTGCATACACTGAACATCGGTCGTCTTGCTCTGGGTGTACCACGGTATCACCAGCCACACCGGTGTGTTGGTAAGATAGGCATTGTTATTCTTATTTTGCAGAGGAGAAACATTAGAATGGTTAATGATTTGCTTAAGACAAAGGACAGAGCTTGGACACAGACTTACATCTGTTGGACTCTGAAGCTATGTTCAATAACTTACCGATGATTGAAAGAATGAATGAGTCAGTGAAAAAAGACCTGTAGGAGAAATGCTGATGTATCATGTATGTTTTGAGAAGGTGTATATTCCACAGGATAGAAAGCAAGTATAGACACTTAGGCTCAACATAGGCCTGGGCATTATAGGGTCACAGGAAAATGGTGGGAGGGAGAGGTTCCAGGGTTGTGAATGGAGAATAAGGAAGTTTCCCAGATGAAGGAGCCTTGTAGGTTGGTAGATTAGGTTGAACTGGTAGATAGGGCAATAGGCAGAGTGGTCCTCCAAAGTTGACTGAGGAAATAGCTCTCACCAGCTGCATCAGCAAGGGGAGATACTAGGTCTAGTTGGCCTAGACTGAAAGTGAATGAGGATGTGAAGGAGGCAGATGTTGCCAGATATTTGATCACACTGTGAACCTCGACTTTGAGTTAATTAAATAAACTTTGGGTCAAGAGGCAGAGCCAGCAACTGACTGACAGGAAGTGCAGAAATGGATAGAGATGCCCACAGCAAGGAGTAGGAGGGATTTGGAGTTTGGCCTTCTATTTTTGGTTTGGGATCTTGGAAGACACTCTCTCTTGAGGCGTGGCTAGCTAAGGAGGAAGGTCAGCTGGTTGCCTCTTGGCCTCTCTGAGCCAGCAGCTTTCCACTCCAGTACCTTACTCCCGAGTTTATTGGTAAAATAGGATGATAGAGACTTAGTTAAGAACTACATTTGGCAGCAGAGGCAGAGGCAGTTCTGGGAGGGGGGTTTGTGAAGACACTGAGGTCCCACCCAGCCTTGGCCTGAGCAGCAGGCCAGTGATTGTGGAATCAGTCACTCGCTGTCACTAGGTCAAACAGCAGCCGCTGTGCCGGCAATGAAACAACAGGCAGAGGGCAATGCCAGGCTGGGAACAGGTTGGCAGATGGCAGAGAAACATGGCTGGAGTCCTTGGCTTTTCTTTGGTAGGTGTGGAGAGTGAAATGTTTCTGTACCCCAGTATTGGGTCTCTCCAGCGATGTAATAAATAAAATCAAGCCGAATTAATAAATTCAGGGTTAATCTGAGCAAAGCATTCCTGGGTGGTCCCAGGGGAAGAAGAGAAAACCACCACGAGGAGAGGGCTTTTAATACCCTGTGGGGGTGGAGCAGCTGATGGCCAGCTTTCTCAGTCTGGAATGGGAGGAGCTTCCCAACTTGGAGCACCCGGCAGTTTTGGGTCAGAGAGGATGTGGCTCAGTATGCAAGGATTTGAGGAAGGGAAGGCCAGGAAGAGGGTACCATAGGCTGGTTGCCATAGTTCAGGGAAAGATGTGGTGGCCTGCTTCAGGGTAGGGAGTGTCCAAGGCAGGGATGGGGTGGGGTGGGGGGGTGCAATAAGGAAAACCTAAAAGACTCATTTCTGCAGTGGGGAGGTGTGAGGCAGGAGCAAGAATCAAGATGTGGAGTAAGGTCAGAGCCTTAAGTTCTGGCCCCAGCTGAGTTACATGGCCCCAAGTGGCATCAGCATTCCATTTACAAAATATGGGGAGAGAGTTGTGACGTCTGTAGTGGCTTTTCAGGGCACACATTCAAGCAACTCTCTAATTTCTAGTTGAGCAGACCCGGAAAGAGAGACTAATTACTTCCTCTAGGTAGAAGCTGACTTTGGAAGGGCCCGTCTCTGGGATCCTCCGGAGTAGCCAGGAATTTGTGATTACTGAAACACGATGATCTGGGAATCAGATAACAGGCCACACCCTGCTTCCTTAAACAGGCTTTGTTCCCAGCGGAAGTATCCTGGAGCGACTTAGGTTATCTCCTGAATTATGAACCTTCTGAGGAATGAGTGTATGGATTCTTGGCCTCTGACAGTGCCGAAGTCATTATGTAATAAGGCTCATATTATGGGCCAAGAGGCCTGAAGAGAGTTCTCTAGAATCTCCTAGTGGCCGCTCTACTTGCAGCTTTTAAATTTGGCACAAGTGGAAGTGTGAGCAGAGGGACTAGTTGTGTGCGTCGGGACTCTGGGAGGATGAAAGAGGCCCACAGGCCAAGGATGACAACGGTAGAGATGGGTCGGGAAGAGCACAGAGGGGCAGGACTTCTCAGGGTGACTGAGTCGGGGTCAGTTTTTGCTTTCCTTCTTTGACCCGTAGAACACACTCTCTGGACACGTATTTCCAATACACTGTTAAGAGCAATGGTTCCAATTCTAGTTGTCTTCGTTAGCTGCATGACCTGGACTGATTGGTTTCCTTATCTAAGAACTGGAGTATCATGGAGTGGCTTAGGCTATCTCCTGAATTATGAGCCTTCTGATGAGTGAGCACCTGGTTTCTGGGCCCTTGTTCAAAGTCGTTATGTAATAAGGCTCACCCCTGTGTCCCAGGGTTGTGGGGGACTATATGAGATAATGTTTATCAAGCACTTACTGACGTGCTCAATAAGCAGTAGATAGAAAGTGACAGATTAGTGGTGGCTTTTTCACTATTTCTCTAGCGTCCCTCTCAGGCAACCGTTGTCTTGGTCTAAGGGAGAGACTTGGTTCAAGGTCCTGAAACCTTGATCTCCTCCTGCACCTGCATCACTACTCACTATACTGTCTTTCCTCCACCACTCTGGCCTTGGCCTGGTGCTACCAACTCTAATATCCCTCCAGCCCACTCTCACATTGTCTAAAATCCATAGAGCTTCTTGCTACCTCCAGGTCATACAGGCATGCATGAGGGATTTCCAAAACAACCCCTCTCTCATACAGCTTGGTTTCTAAAACCTGGCCTTGTGAAGGAGCTCCACAGTGATTTTCAGGATGCCCAAGCTACCCTTTCTCCTTACCGTTAGGACACTTGACTTCCTTGCTTAGTACCTTCCTTTTTGACTGTTTCTCTCCAGACTGCCTTCTTAGGCGCATTATGCAATTAGGGCTCATGTAATGGGTCTTGTGTTCTAGGGCCCTCATCTCGATCCCACCACCAGTCACCATGGAGGAAAGTCCCTGCCCCTCTGAGCCATAGTGCATCTGTATGACAAATGAAGTGTGGACTTCAGGCTTTCCAGATCCACGGAGGAGCTCCAGATTCCTGTCATAGGTGGCTGAGGCATCTGTCTCTCATCTCTGCAAACTGGAAACATTATCATGAGGACTGGACTGTAGCTCACTTGTGGAGTGACTGACTAGGACACACATGGTCTTGGGTTCTAACCCAAGCAGAAAGATGATTATGATATGTGAAGGAAGCTGGGGTTGTGTCAACTCAGTATGTGCCCATGGGGTATACTGATTCTTTCAAAAAGAAGAAACTATAGTGCCAGAAGGATCATTTGTCCAGTTTCCTACTGCAAGTAGCTGGCCATAATGGAGTCTTTGGGAGATGTACTGCCATCCCCATTTCCCAAGGCAAGAGAACAGACCTTATCACTGACGCTGGGAATTGGTGCTGCAATGGACCTTAACAAATTCACTGGAGTAACTTTAATCTTCTGGTTAGTTTACATGCCCCACCCTGACCATGCCCCAGAATGTATTGCTCCTAGACTAAAGGTTTCTGCACAGATGTGTAATTCTTTGTCCAAAAGCCCGAAAGCATCCTGCCCTCATGCTTCTTCACATCTTCGCAGTCTCATGAGCATCCCTGGGCACACGTAAAGTTAAATAAAGTCTTGTGCTTTGCTCTGGTTAGCAACCTGCCCAGTTTTTCCTTGGTCCCTAGACCCAGCTAGGGAGAGGGCTGCTGAGACAACACGCAGAGGATTCAAGTTTGATTCTCAGCCACATTGAGTGGTTCACAACCACCTGTGCCACCAGCTCCAGGACTCCTTCGCCTCTGGCCTCCATGGGCACTCATGTATGTCCAGACACATCCCATGCACATAGTTAAAAACACATCTTACAAAACAGGAAGTAGTATGAGGAGGGGTGATTATTTTCCCCTCTCCCTAACTGATGAAAGGTGAGAAAATGTCTTATAACACGGAGAGTAGTGCAAATACAAGACTTCCTCAAAAAGAAGTCTTGATGAGGTGTAAGGGTGTGCAGGGAGGTGAAGGGATTTTGTGCGTACCATTTTTGCTAACTTCTGGTGAACGTGTATCTATAGGGCACCGTCTCAGGCTGGGAGTAGGTCTTGGTGGCAGAGGGCTTGTTGCTGTGTGACCTTCCTCATCAAATATGAACAAAAGTCATATCATGCCTGAAGGGGCGCTGACTGCAGACCAAAGAAATGCTCACAATGAGCCTAAGTGGAGAACCAATGAGCTGACTGGGGTCACTTCCACCCCAGGGTGACTGAGGGCAGCTCCACCACTGAGAAGCCAGCCCAGCCCAGCATGTCTTCATTAGGGTTTCTATTGCCGTGAAGAGACACCATGACCAGTGCAACTCGTATAAAGGAAAACATTTAATTGGGCTGGCTTACAACTCAGAGGTTTACTCCGTTACCATCATGGAGGGCTGCAGGCAGGCAGGCATGGTGCTGGAGGGGGAGTTAAAAGTTCTACATCTTGATTTGCAGGCAGCAGAAAGAATCTGTGTCCACACTGGGCATGACTTGAGCACAGGAGACCTCAAAGCCCTCCCTCACAGTGACACACTTCCTCTAACAAGGCTGCATCTCCTCCAACAAGCTCACTCCTCTTACTGTGGGAGCCATTTTCTTTCAAACCACCACAGGTGAGGAACCCTGAAGCTGCATCTTCAGAGCTCTCTGAGAAAGTGATCAGCAGCTCCAAAAGGATTCTCCCTGCCCTGTCCCACAATTGTCACTACTCCTATAGCCTTGGGGGGGGGGGCTTGTGGCTTTCTGACCTTCTTGAGCCTGGTATTTTTTTAAATATATGTTTTATTTAAATTAGAAACATATTTGCTTCACATGTCAATCCCCTCTCCCTCTCCCACCCCTCCTCCCTTGGCCCTCCACCAGCCCTCCCAACTCCCCACCCAGTCCCCACACAATTTCCCAGGGAGGGTGAGGCCCTCCATGGGGAAATCTCCAGAATCTGTCATTTCATTCAGGGCAGGACCTGGGCCCTTACCCATGTGTCCAGGCTGAGAGAGCATCCCTCTATTTGGAATGGGCTCCCAAAGTTCATTCTTATGCCATGGTAAACACTGATCTACTACCCAAGGCCCCAGAGATTGCTGAAGCCTCCTCACTGACACTACATTCATGGAGTCTGGATCAGTCCCCTGTTGGCCTCTCAGCCATCAGTCTGGGATTCAAGAGCTCCCCCTTATCCGGTCAGCTGTCTTTGTGGGTTTCACCAGCACGGTCTTGACCCCTTTGCTCATTACTCCTCCATCTCTGTCACTGGGTTCCAGAAGTTCAGTTCAGTGTTTAGCTGTGGGTATCTGCCTTTGCTTCCATCAGTCCCTGGATGAAGGTTCATGTTTGTTTTTTTGTGACTGGGTTACCTCACTCAGGATTGTTTCTTCTAGTGCCATCCATTTGCCTGCAAATTTCAAGATTCCATTGTTTTTTTCTGCTGAGTAGTACTCTGTTGTGTAAATGTACCACATTTTCTCTATCTACTCTTCAGTTGTGGGGCATCTAGGTTGCTTCCAGGTTCTGGCTATTACAAATAATGCTGCTATGAACATAGTGGAACAGACATCCTTGTTGTATGAATGGGCATCTTTTGGGTATATGCCTAAGAATGGAATTTCTGGGTTGTGGTAGATTGATTCCCATTTTCCTGAGGAATCTCCATACTGATTTCCAAAATGGGTGTACAAGTTTGCACTCCCACCAGCAATGGACGAGTGTTCCTCTTTCTCCACATCCTGTCCAACATAAGCTGCCATTGGTGTTTTTTATTTTAGCCATTCTGACAGGAGTAAGATGGTATCTCAGAGTTGTTTTGACTAGCATTTCCCCAATGGCTAAGGATGTTGAGCACTTTCTTAAGTGACTCTCAGCCATTTTAGACTCCTCTATTGAGAATTCTCTATTTAGTTCAGTGCTCCACTTTTGAGCCTGGTATGTTTTTTATTCCATTTTTTCTTTTATTGAAAACAGGTATTTTTTCACACAATATAAACTGGCTACAGTTTCCCCTCCCTATTCCTCCTAGTTATCCTCTGCCTCCAACTCACCCAGCTCCATATCCTTTCTCTTTCCTTAGGAAGCTAGCAGGCATTTAAGGAATAATAATAAAATACAATAAGATAAAACAAAACAAGACAACAACAGTTTGGAATAGGACAAAACAACCAAACAAGAGATAGAGTCAAGGAAAAAGCACAAGAAACTTATATACATTCAGAGATACTTACGTTTGCACACACAGGAATCCCATAAAACATAAAACCAGAAGCCAAAATATGTAAGTAAAGGACCTGTAAGGTTTGTTTGTTTGTTTTTGCCCTGGCTTAACGTTTTGAGACAAAGAGCCTCCAGTTCATTTTGTGCTGCTCATCACTGCTGGGCCTGGGGCCTACCCTGAAGAGTGGTTTGTTTGCCCAGTGAGAATCCCTTGGAGGAAACTAAAATTTCAGTTTACAAGTGGTCATCAGTTTGAGATAGCTTCTGGGTTAGGGACGGGGTCTTATGTCCGCTTTCCCTTCCAGCTCTAGGACTCCATGTGGTGCAGGTCCTGAGTGCTGCCTCAGTCTGAGAGCTCACACATGTGCCAGCCTTGTTGTGTCTAGAAGGCCTCATCCCTTGGTGTCTTTCATCCCCTCTGCTTCTCACACCCTTCTGCCTCCTCTTACATTGAGTTCCCTGAGCCCTGAGGGGAATGGTTTGATGGAGACATCCCTCTTAGGGCTGAGTGTTCCAAGGTCTCTCACTCTGCATGTTCCCTGACTGTGGGTCTTGATATTTGTTCCTATTTGCTGCAGGAAAGAGCTTCTCTGATGATGGGAAGGCACTGATCTATGAGTCAGCAATGTGCCTTTAGGAGTCATTTGACTGCTGTGTTCCTTTTGCAGAACAGTAGTATTTGGTTTATCCCCAGTCTCTGACCTATCCAGTCTCGGGCTCTTGACCAGCTGAGCACTGCTGGGTGGGAGGAGCTCCATTTCATGGTGTGGGCTTTGTGCCTCTATTACACCAGTGCACCCTGCATGCAGGTCATCATCGTATGTCAAAAGGTTCACAGCTGGGTGGGTGTCCACCTTCTCCCTCGATAGAGTGCAGAGTACTCTCAGTACCACAGACACTAGGGTAGAGGCTCTAGGTAGACTCCAGATCGACTTCTCCATGCTCGGTGAGTTCTATAAGTGTTGCTTTCAGCAACAGGGCCTTATTGTCAGTTTGTAGAGAGCCACCAATAAACTTGGCAATAGCCTGGGTTGTTTAGGGGTTCCCTTGGGACCTCTTTGGCCAATAACTCAATTAGACATAACCCATTCTTGGTACTTGGTAATGAGAGGTATCCTGTTGGGGCTCTGCCTCCCCTACTAGTCAGTGATTTCTTTTAGATTGCCTTCATATATGTATATATTATAGGACATGTCTATGATCCCTCAAATGGCCTTTACTTTTAAATGTTCCTCCCCATACTCTCTCCCTAGTCCCTCTTTTCCCTCCTCCTCCCTTTGATCCTTCCATTCCCCCCTCGTCCACTCATAGCTATTTATTTTATTCCCCTTTCTAGGGAGATACTTCCCTCCCTGCTGGTCCCTTTCTCTACACCTAACCTCTGTGGTTATATAGATTGTAGCTAGCTTGTCAATGACTTAATAGCTAACATCTACATACAAGCAAATATATACAATATTTGTCTTTCTGAGTCTTAGTTACGTCATTGGGGTTGCTTTTTTTTTTAAATTCTATCCATTTACCTGCAAATTTCATGATTTCACTTTCTTTTTAAAGAGCTCAGTAATATTACACCCTGTAAATGGATCACATTTTCTTTATCCATCATTCATCCATTGATGGACATCTGGGCTGTTTTCAGTTTCTGGTTATGAATAGAGCAGCAACAAACACAGTTGAGCAAGTGTTTTTGTAGTGGATGAAGCGTCCTTTGCACATGTGCCCAAGAACAGTATTGCTGGATCTTGAGGTAGATATTGATTCCTTTTTTTTGTTATAAACACTGCTTTCCATAGTGACTTGTACAAATTTACACTTCCACAAGTAATGGACAAATGTTCCCCGTAGTTTACATTCTTGCCAGAATGAGAGCTGTCATTTGTTTTATTGATTTTGGACATTCTGATCGGTGAAAGATAAAATAAATTTCCAAGTAGTTTGATTTGCATTTCCCTGATGACTAAGGATGTTGAATAGTTCTTTAAAGAAGTAAAACAGAGAAACCCTGTCTCGTAAAACCAAAAAAAAAAAAAAAAAGAATAGACAGTGCTCTTAACCTCTGAGCCATCTCTCCAGTCCTGATGTCCAGTTTTTTTGAGTTCTTTATATATTTTGGATATTACTCCTCTATTGGATATATATTTAATAAAAACCTTTTCCCATTTTATAGCCTGTTGCTTTTTGTCTGAATGATGATGTCCTTTGCCATACAGAAGCTTTTCTGTTTCATGAAGTCCCATTTATTGATTGTCTTTGGCCTATCTGGAGTAGAGTTTTGTGCAGGGTGGTACTTATGGCTCTATTTACATTCTTCTGCATGCAGCTGTCCACTTTGAACAGTATCATTTGTTGAAGATGCTGTCTTTTTTTTTTTCAGTATGCATTTCTGGCTTCCTTATATCAAAAACAAGGTGTCCAT